AGTCATTTAAATAATTGATCACTACTTGACCGATTTCATTGATCAAGGGTAACTCTTGAAAATCTTTTATTTGTTTCCATTGTAAACAAGCACACCAATGTGATTCAATACCAGCATCTCTGCATGTCCGATTTGTTGGTATCAATTGAAATAAACTATACGAACGATTTGTTGTTGATTTATAGTTTTCATTAAAATCAAGCATATGTAAAAATGTTTCATGAATGTCAAATGGTGTTGTTAAACGATGAGAATTTAATCTTAAATTGTGAACATACGTCGATTGTTGAAATTTGGGTGGCATTCGTATAGACATGAATGGTAAACGTTCTTCTAATTTTCCCTGATAAGTACTTCTTAATTCCGAATATCTTTGTCCATGATCAGACATTATAATTAGCATTGTATTGTCTAAATGTCCCGTTTTATTCATTTCATACAAAAATTCATACAATTCTTGATCAGCATATGGTACAAGATTATTTGTATCACGATGTGAATATTGTGCATGAAAACCTAATGTCCACTTCAATCTATTCGGATATGTATTATAAAAGTCCTGAATCCAATTTAACATTGTTTTAAAACGTGTCATATTCCCAAAACACAGTACATTCTCAGTCGTTGTTTTACGAAAATATTTTGATTCAGCATATAAATAAAAGGGACGCATATAATAATCAACCGGTTTATGACGAAAACCTGATAGACGGAATTGAAATGTTCCAATGTGTTGTTCATCTTCAGTCCATTGAGTTATATAACCAGCATCTTAATTAAACAAATAAAATCTTTTCATATCATCTTAAAAACGTTTAGGTCAAACTTTTACCGTTTAACTTTTTCCATATCCATGGATAATTATCAACTGGTTTTGCGCCTTTTTCACCGTGACGGGATTCGGGTAATTCGAGTCCTGTTTTCCCGGTAAGCATGGCCATGAACTGAGCAGTTGTACCATCGCCAACTATATTGTGACCTTCAAAAATCAAGTTGTGTGCAAAAGTTTCAAAACATAAGGTGCGTTACTTGTATTCATTGTCTAAAGTCGTTTTGAAAGGGACTGCCCAAAGGACGTCATCTGATCAAATTTTCGCAGTATATAGAACAACTATATGAGAGGCACTTTTACAGTTCTAGCCTTAACGGTCGTTTTCATTCCAGTTGTCTACTAGCTTTTCAATAAAACCTTTTTATTGCACGCATACGACAAACAGATCTTAAAGTTTTGTTTTTTATACTACTAAAAAGTACCACACGTCATGCCGAACATCACAGATGAGCCGAGGTTCAAGAGGATATTGAATATATTTAATAACAATTATCGTTAGGCATGCACCAATCCTAGAGTTCACTCATCGCACATGTTCGGTCTTGAAATATTATGCGATCAAACATGTTCAGTAACTGATTGCAAAAAATAAGATTCTTTTACCGCAATCGAGCTGGTTGGCCAGGGCCAGTTGCCACGCGCAGTAAATAGAGAATCGTACTCTGTATCTGAAACCAAGAAAAGAACTTTTGACTTGGCATTATCGTATCGTTCGCCAGTGTTTGCAAGACGTGTGGTTAATACTCGGCACGTGCAGATAACTCTGCTACCGGAGCGAAATTCCGTGACGAATTTTGACATTTTTCAATGTTTATATTTCTTTAACAAAAGCACGTGCAGTACTGTGAAACATCGAGAATTGTAAAGCAAACGTTTTTCTACAAAATGAGGTGTCTCGAAGCTCTATACGTTTCTTTCTTTGAATAATAACGCTAAATACTAAATCCTACTGTCCCCAAATGAAGCTTAACTTGTATTTTCCTTTTAGTTTTTAAACAAAGAAACGTATAGAGCCCCGAAACGCCTTATTTTGTAGCTTTGCTTACAATACGTAAGCAAAACTCCAACGTTTCACAGCACTGCACATGCTTTCGTTAAAAGAATATAAATGTAGCAAAATGTCAAAATTTCGCCATGGTAGCAGAGTTATCCAGTC